CGGGGGGCATCAAGCTTTTTTTTTATAAGTTTTCTTTTTGAGAAGCTTTAGCTTGTAAGGTATTCCCCCCATCCAAGACTGCCATTTCACCACACCTATATATCAAGCTTGGGGATGTTAACATGCTCTTCATTCCAGAAACTTCAGAATGAAAGTTGATATACATATAAAGAAAAAGCCACTAGGGGCTAACCATATTACAATACAAGTGTCTCAAACATAAGACTGTGATACCACTTACAAATCCCTCCCTTGCAAGGAAATCCCAGTGCTGTTGTTAGATCTAGGCACCAAATGAGTAGTTCATATGACTTGTCAGCATCCTAGTCACCAACGGTGATTCCAGATTCCAGAACATGAAGATGAACCGTGCTACAACATCTATTTGGCAGAATTTGTAATGCTAAAAAAATTGGAGTCTTCAAAAATGTACCATCTTAAATTATCCTAAAGTAATTACATATGAACTGTCTAGTTATTAGGGCAGTTTTCTCTAGGATGGGGTTCAAGTGTAATAGTGGTCACATTAAAAAAATGAAGGTTAAGTCCACATCCAGTCTACCCCTCCCCAAAATCCAAATAGCAGAGAGGATCATTAGGTAATGGTCCTAAAAGGAATGTTACAGAACAAGCCAAAACAGCCAATATGAAGCACTATTCAAAAGAAAATTGCAATTCAGTATTAGATGTGGAAAAGCAGATTGAATAAGGGTTGTTCAGCAGAAGTCAAAATAGTATAATCAAAAAACAGACTAAAGACTCTAGACAAGGATCTCAAAATTAGATTTAGAGCACCAGATTATCAATGCACATTCAAGGAATACCAATCAAACATATTAATCAAGAATAAAAGCCTAAAGATTCTGACCTTTGCAAATAATAATGACAAAGAATTGGGGAATTCCCCTGTGGCAATGATGAGAAAGAGCAGAAATGGAAATGACAAGCAACTATTATAGAACATTATCTCAATTGATGAAAGTCTGTTCTCTGCACCAGATTTCTCCACTAGTACCAGGTACGTGGTCTATATATGTAATCAAGCACTTGTATCAGTAAAACAAGACAAAAAAATATATTTGAGTTCAAAAGTATATTCTAGTATGCTTTAGATTTAAGTTTCAATCTTGTGTCTATTATATACATGAACCATTAAAGATGTGAACTCAACCTGGAAAAAAACAGAGGTCAGGGCCATGCTATATCCAAAGAGATCAAAGGAAAAATCTCCCAGTGCTGCTATAATGACTCCAGCAGCAATGATTATAACCGAAAGAGACACCTGAAAAAACAACAGATACAAGCAACAAATTGAAACAATTTTCTAATTTAAAGTGGGGCTAGAGCAATGATTAAAAGTACAGAAACAAGGAACCAGAACCTTCAGAAGTGTGAAGCATAAGCCTCAAGGTGTGTGGCTGAAGCCTCATAACAGATCATTTTTTAAGAATAACATGAAACTAAAGTGAGGGAAAAGTGTATAATTGTAAAATAACATATTTTAATATAGGAAGAGCGTGTAATGAATATTATCATCATCATTATCCTCGAAGCCTTGTCCCAACTGTAAGGGATCAGCAGGAATCCTGTTTTGCCATTTTGTTCTGTTCAGTGCCATATTCATATTCATTGTTAAATGAATATCTGATCACATGAAGAACTTTAATAATATTTGAGCTTACAAGCCATTCAATTACTAAAAGTTATTTATTTATTTATTTTTTTGAAACAGTAAATTATTGTATTGAGAAAGATAATAAAAAAAGATACAAAGAGGGACTCTGTACATTGAGTATATACACTTAAAATAATACCCTTTGAAAAAACGGTTTATAGCACAAGTTTAAGAGTTCACAAAAAAAGATGTTTGAAATCCAAATAGAAAAACTATAGTTTCTTCCCTCTAAAACGTTTTTGATAGGCCAGAAGAGAACAGCATTCCCATCATCCTTTTAACCAACTTTTCATCTAAGCCCCGTACATGGTCAACATCCTTCACTACTCCTTATAAAATTTTCGCATGTCGGTATTTTGTTCATTGCAGAGGTCTACACAAAGAAAGCCACTTTAGACGAAACAGCTCTATACCATATCCTTGTGCCTGGAAACTCTATCAACACCTTTAGTCACATTGCTATAAAAAAGCTTCAATGAGAACTTCCCTGATTTCTCACAGGCCCAAATCTTTTTGTCAGCCCTTTCTGCGCTCAAAATTGTACTGTATAATTTCTGCGCCAAGCCTAGTAAAGATGCCACCTCACAATAATTTAGATTTCTGTGGAATTGCAGATTACGAATTATTACAATGTTATGTATGATGTATCATAAATATTCAGACACCCTTGCTTCTTTCTTTTGAGCTATTTCAAACAGCGTCAGATATGTTTCCATGAGAGGCCTTCAATCACACTAATTGCCTTTCCAAAACAGAACTCTTCATTTCCTACTTCATATTTTATACCCTTCATGAACAGATGATATGATTTTTGTACTCCCACACCAAGCATCCATATGAGGAATTTATTAGAAAGGTTTAAATGTAATATAGTATCTCTGTAAATATGTTGAATAGATTTAATAACTTAAATGTGCATACATAACACAATACACACACAAGGCATCTCAAGGTGTGCGAAATGTGCCTTATACTTTCATTGCATGAGCCTCAAGGCAACCTCAAAGCATAATTCTCACGCTTTTTAAAACATTGGTTTACAGGGATGCTTCATTTCCGGGGTTATACTTCTTTTTTATCAGCACTTCAGGGGTTATACTTGATGCCTTGGCAAAATTGATTGCAAGATAAAGGGACCATTTGATAACAGCTGAAGTGGCTGGAGTGAAAAGCTTACTAATGCTCAAGAATTATTTTTTTACACCTGTCCCATAAGTACTTCAATCCTACCCTTGAAAAGATTAAAAGCAAAAATCTAAGACAGCTGTCAGAATATTAATTGAGTTCTCACTTAGTATGCTTACAAGGGTGTGCCTACTGGGTCCCAACTGAACTACTATACCCTTGAATATTTTAATGTTTAGTTATTTTATCAACTAAAAGACCAGCAATAAACTGTTCAGTTCAACAACTTCAGTCATTATCAAATGGACCCTTAGGTAATATTGGACTAGGAAACTGACAGCACTTTCTCTGGTTAGAAAAATCTTGTTCAAAGGGTTCACTTCAGATAAAATGACACAAAAACAAAGTTGCATCAGTTCAAGCCAGAGTTAACTAGAGAAAAGAAAAAGTTCTAGAAAAATCTTGTTCAAAGGATTCACTTCAGATAAAATGACACAAAAACGAAGTTGCATCAGTTCAAGCCAGAGTTAACTAGAGAAAAGAATAAGTTTTCCTTTTCCGATCATATACCGGTTTTCTGAGACCCAAATCCAAATGCAAGGCCAGACCAGTGAACAAACAACCCAGTCCAAAAACTGCATTCTGAAATATTCCCAAAATACTGGCCTGGCCAAAAACTTCATAGATAACAGATATTATACATACAACTTATTGTCAAGGCTTGTATAGACATAAATAGGTTACATTTTTTCATTTAATGGGTTGATAGTCATTTGCTTAACCAGTCGAGCCACAACCCAGTGACTTGAGCAGATAGGCTCCACAATTAGATATCCAAATGCCAAATCCTACAATTATATGATCTACAAAATCTTGTAGTTGCATGTCTTTTTTACATGAGAATATTTATGGAATGGTTCCCTGTCAAACATGAAAATGTCTTTACTGGGGCAGAATACCTATTCCATTTTTCACAAATAGAATGTGAAAATACTTTAGAAAAAAAAAATTGGTAAAAGTAGTTTCAAGAATTTTGGAGAAACCTATTTGATTCTAAAAAGGTTTGAGAGAGATTCACGAAGTATGTTCAATAACAGTTTAAAAGTTGCTTTTCATGGACAAAAAATGGAATCATTGATTCCCTATAAAAGCAAAACCAATTTTTGTTTCCAAAGCAGAAATGAACCCCACTGCTATTCCTAAATCAGAAAAAAAAGACTGATTTTCTAATTTTAGATGTAAGCTTACTTTTTTTTCTACAAAGTTCATCAAAACTCCCCATTAGCTTTATATGCTAATGTGGCATAAGACAGTGAACATATAGAAATTATCAACCTATGGGTTCTTGGATGACAATGATCGATCATATACCTGTATTGAAGGCCTCCCTTTTCCTGAGAAAAATCCAGCTACCAAGACACCAAGCGGTGTAAGTCGTTTTAAGGCAATATACATTGGAATATTCACCCCTTTCAAACTTGCCAAAGCAAATGCCACATTTGCATTATAGAAAAATGAAACCGGGAATAGTTTCTTCGCAGTCATGGTGTCAAATCCTTTGGACTTTGTATAGCCCATCACTCGACCAAAGTGTATAAGCAAGGACGTCACCAATTGCTAATTGACAGAAGATAAATGATAGCCATATCAATAAATGATAAAAGACAGTACGCAAATAATTACAAAATACAAAAACAGAGAATACTAATTTCTTTGATTGATACCTGCAGGATGAGCAGAGTCATTGAGTGCCCATACTGCATCAGAATTGCCTTATTAATAAAAACCATGGACATCGAAGCAACCCCATATGAGAACGCTGAAATGAAACTACAATCATCATTATGTGATTAGTTAGACCGGTGCAGATTGACTTTGAAGAAGGAAAAAGAACAAACTCAGAATCCTTATTATTTTTTAACCCCCAGCAAATTAACTAATGGGGGAGAGACTAAACTTGGTCTACCAGAACAAATAAAACTTAACCAATGAACCTCAAATTCACCTCCCCTGGCACAACTTTCAATGAAAAATATACATGTATTATTGGCCACCAACTCATTGATCAAGACAGATCAAAACAACAATAAATTTCCCCTTGTCAGCATATTATATTTCCTCCCAACCAAAAACATTCTTTTCCATACATTGCAGTCAAAGTATTTTCTCTGTATGTACAAGATTAAGGTCCTTTAGTTGGCCTGATAATGAGACAACATGGAGACCAAAGATTAAACCAGAAGCTGAATTTTCCAGATTGAACAACAAGTTTAAGAACTGCATGCACTCAAAGGATAAACATCAATTCTAGATTATTTATCTCACAAGCATATTGCCTCGAAAACTGGTCAGGTGGAAACCGTGGCATAGTGTCTGAACATGCATAGTAAAACCAAACACTAATCTAATGATCCATGAATATAAAAAGCAAAATTCAGTTCAAGATAAAACGATAAGCACACAGAATAGACATGCAAAACTCTCTCAGGCATAAGAACGGGGGCACGAAAATGCTATCAGATTCCAATATATGAATCCATTACCCTGTGACAAATAGATATAAATTTGAAAGAAAACAAATTTAAGAGTCAAAACCAAAAAAAAAAAAAAATACCACAAGTAATTAAGAATACGGAATCCAGTTTCCAATAAAATGGCTCATCGCAATCTTCGTAAATGCAATTTCAATACAGCTTTAATGGAACAAAAAGGAAGAGATGGCATGAATTTTAATAAATAAAATAAACAACCTCTTAAATGGGCTCGTTTCTAAGACAAGTGCACTCCCACTTTCCATGGCGATCATATGGACTGGTAGCTTTCCGCACTAAATCACTCCACCAGAAAGCATCAAACCGGTACCAATTACATGATTTAGAATAAGAAACTTTCCTTTTAACGCAAAACCCATCAAAATCCAGGTGACAACCTAGAAATACCTGAACCCAAATCAGTATATATGCAAGTTCAGAAACCCATAAGTTTCGCCTTGCAAACAAGATCAGGTTAGGTCACACAAATCGGAACTTAATAAGCAATGAACCAATTAAAAGGTTACCTGTCAGAGATCCTCTTACATTGCTCTCTACAAATTGATTGCAGAGATAAATCCTTATTGAGGTTTGCTTGAGCAGTGGAAGAGGAGTAAGCCGTTGCCCCGTTTCTTCTTTTTTTTTTTTAATTTATTTTTGCGCATTTGTTTTGAAACGCCTCGTTAGTAACAATGCGAAGATTTTGACTCTTCATGTGAAGCTGACTTCAATTTCAAGTAATCACGTCTCTATAAAAAATTAAATAAAATTATCAATCACAAATGTAAGGAATTAAGGATTGTTTAAATATATACAGTGCAAATATAGATTTTGAAAAATTATCTCACTTGCATATTCCCATATAGGTAAATACAAGTATGTGTAGTATAGGTTTAATAATATGAAATATAAGGTTTTGTACCTTATATATTTCATGTGAAATTATCTCACATGCATATTCCCATATAGGTAAATACAAATATGGATAGTGCAAATATAGGTTTAGTAATATGAAATATAGGGTTTTGTACCATATATATTTGTATTTGCACTCTTTTTCCCAAYTAAGACTAAAATCGAAAATTTATGTCAATTTCAATGGGTTAAGAAAAATCATTTTATAAATATAACTAAAACTGAGGACCCTCTAAAATCAGATGAATAGATCAATGGACCCCACTCAATTATTGTATCTTCACTTATGCATTCTATACAAAAATAAAATAAAAYAAAACAAAATAAAATGTTGATCCCATTAAAAGATTAAGTGTTGGGTTATGATGCATGATTTTGACCCCATAGCCAATTGAATTCCTTTTGAATGACCATTACAACAGTAACGAAGTTATAACTACCACCTAGGTTACACAAGGATTTATCCCTTGTACATGGTTGTACAGTTAAATTAACCATCAACCAATGACCTTTAGGGTAAGAATCTTATCAAATGGTGGGATAGGTCCCAACCCCATCATGTCCATCACGTTTCAATATGATAGATAGTTTATAATATAGACCTTTGTAAAATTCAAATTGTTGTGGCTTGTGGATGCACATGGATGTTGATAGAAAAACAAAAGAAGAAATGAATGAGAAAGGGGAATAACATAGTGGCCTGGTATTTACAAATTTAGTGGGGTGCTCTGAAATAAAAAGGTCAAAGATTGGCAAAAAGAAAGAGAGTGTTAAACTACTTATTTTTATATAGCAAAGACAAAAATAAGTTGTATAAGGGCATGATAAGCACATGTGCAAGTTGAGGGTAAGATATAAGTTTACAATATTATAAAATATGATATACATTATATTATATTTTATAATATATAAATAATAGCATATATATATATATATATATATTAAAATATTATATTCACTTCAGCGATTGGTTAGGTCAGGCTGTTAACTTCTCTAAATCTAACATTTAATTTCATTAGCAATGTGTATTATCGGATTACCAAGGTTCTTATGAAAGTTATCAGTGTGCAATCTCTTAAATATTTAGAGATTTACTTAAGCTGCCCCCTTTTTATTAAGCATAAAAGTCTTTCACTTGATCTTTTATTAAGGACTAGTGTAAAGGCATGTGCTATATACATGTGCAAGTAAATGATAAAGATATTAGTTGATATTGTGTATCAAATTTAACTGCATTAAAACCAAAGCAAGTGTTTGCTTTATAGTATAGATAAGATGTTGAAGAAGTTACAAGCTTAGAAGTCAAATGTGCTCTCCCACGGAATTCAGCTTGTTCTCATGATCAAGTCAACTTTATCTTTTATTCTTGTTTACTCCATGTCCATTGTGCGCTCCTCCCTTTTAATGTCTATTCTGAACTAAATAGACTAATGAGAGACTTTTAGTGGGGTTTCCAAATGGGAGGAAGCATGTTTATGTCAAGGCTTGGTCTTCTTTTCTAAAACCTAAAACCTCAGGTGGTTTTAGAATTCATGATATTACCATTATAAATAGAACTTTGGTGGTAAAATTGGGGTTGTGCGCACTTTCTCATTGACTCTTCCTCGCTTGGACTTAAATGTTGTATGGTAAATACTCGAATGGTTCTAGCTTCAAGAATTATCAAACTAAGCTTGTAGATTCTACTATTTGGAACTCCATATTGACATGTAGAGATCTTTTGAAACACAGGTGTTTATGGATCACTGGTAATGGGTTTGGAATTAATTGTCAAATAAATCCCTAGGTCCTGAAACTTTACCTTCACCGGGTAAAATTAAATACAAAATAACTTGTTTCTTTTCTTGACAACCTTTGGAACTTTAGCCTTGTAAGAAAAAAAAAAAAGAATTTATTTTGATTAGTTAACATGCACAGTACACTGCAATCTTCGAACTCTCTCTTCCTCTTCTCGTCTTCTCATGTACATTGTAGTAAGTAGGCAATGCTTCRTATCTTCACTGTCTTGATGGATGACTCAGTAAAATTGTTCTCATGGACTTACTGTGTTCTTCAAGTTGTTCTCTCATGTCTTCTTCTATTTCATTTTGTATTTTCTATTCATCGAAATAGTAACCAACTTCGGATGCTTTCTACTCTTCTTCAATCGCAGTTTCTTGTTATGATGCTTCCTTGGCCTGATTCTTGGTTCGTAAAGAAAACTTTCTTCATCTCCTTCTACATAAAGGGTATCATCAATTCTAGATCTCTTCCTTGCTTGCTCCTATTGAGGCATGATTTGTGCTTCAATCTCATCCCTTTGCTTGAATTTTTTGAGGAGTTCCTTCTATAAGGAATCACATATTTCTTTTGTGCTTCAAGTCTTGACATCAAAACATTGGTGGCTACTTGGTTCAATCTAATATGCTCTTTATAGATGACACTCCTATAAGATGCAACAAAATTAGCAAKAAAGTATTTTCATTCCAAACTAATACAAAATTGTTAAAGGATTGGTTGTATGGACTATGAATTAGCTTACGTATTACTTAAAACCCCAAGTCTCGCTCGAGGTGCTTTAATCATATAACCAATAAATCCTACCCAGTCATCAAATACAACCATTTGGTTTTGACTAGCCCAAACAAAACTAGAAGCTTAGCCCATGATAAACTAATTAAAATTGCTTCTTATAAAAAATGGTTTCTTTCCATTTCATGTACAGACTTTTGGATGGTGTAAACTGGTGATCATAGGGAAATCTGTGTTGTGGCCATTTCGGAATCAGTGTCAAATTAGGCATCTTGCACAAAATTTCTTTCTTTTTTCTTGAAGAGTAAAATAAAAGATTTCATTAAACAAAAAAAAGGAATATTACAATTTGAGAGGTGTCAAGGTGATACCTCAAATAAGCAACTCAACCGAAGACTAATCTACTGAAAATTGTTCATCATTACAAACTTGGATTTCAAGAATATTCTAGGACTTTTGTAAAGCATACCTAAATAAGTAGCCATGCCGGTTGAGCTCTTTGTGAAAAGGAGTGGAATATTAGCTTACCTTGAAATGGGGAATTGTTTTCTTCCAAAAATCTGATCTTGGTTGAAAATCAACACCAAATATTGCAACAAGCTCATAATCTTTGACATAACCACAACTCGTTGTAGATTTTAGGTTCCTTTCCTTATAGCTTGTTTAGATAAGTCAGTGTCTATATACGATCTTCACACCCTTCTATTGCCATTCTTGATGAGGAGATGGATCCAAGCCATTAGAGTCATCAAACAGTTGTACAAGAGTTTTGTTTTTTGGCCAATCTTGGATGCATGTTACTACAATTGATTGTTGACAAACCTGTGTGGCACCATAGTGAGACCAATCATCAATATTTTTAAACCTCAAAATTAGGGTAAATTAAAGATAGGTATCCTATACTTTGGGGGTAGTAATAGATAGGTACCCTAAACTTTCAATATCAACACGTGAGTACCTTGAACTTTGAAAAATATATACTTGGCTCCATCTGTTAGTATTCCATCAATTAAACATTACATAATGTCAAAAATRCCCTTCTCATGTATTTTTTAGATCATTCTATGAAGTAAAATCATCACAAAAGAATGTTGTCATCAGAAAATTTGAAAATGTTATTTGCTGTCCGTGTGAGAACAGCATCATGGGRAGACATTTGGTTACCTGAGAATGATCTCAGAAATACATGAGAAGGGCACTTTTGGCATTATGTAATGTTTAACTAACAGAATACTAATGGATGGACCTAAGTGTCTATTTTTGAGAGTTCAAGGTACTCAAGTGTTGTAATTGAAACTTCATGGTACCTATCTGTCACTACCCCCAAAGTACAGGGTACCTATCTTTAATTTACCTTAAAATTAAAAGAAAATAAATAAAGAAAAAACACAAAAGAGTCATCCTCATCATCTAAGCCTCATCCCAACTATATGGGGTTGCTACATGAATCCTATTTGCCATTCCATTATGTTTAGTGCCATATCTATTATCAAATTTTGTGAAAGACTCAAGCATACAATACAAAAAATGAAAGTGGTAATGCTCTTTTTTCATTTTTTTTTCTTCCTTTCATTTTTTGGTAGGTTAGACTGGAGGTTTTAGAAGATGTTAGGTATTTATAGACTAATATTATCATTTGATACATTCAAACTATCATTCACTAACTTTTGCAAACCTAATTGACAAGCTTAAAATCTTTCTAGAACTATGAAATTTGAACTTTCAACCTGAATTTGAAGTGAAAAACTAGGTCAACAACAAAAAAAATGTTGTTGACAGACAATATGGTAAAAGAAAATTAGTATTTTAATACAGTTGGAAGATGTATTCTAAAACACTCTTGGTCTAACATCAAATTATAAGCTAAAAAATAAAATGAACATCAAACAACTCTTTGTACAATAAGCTTTTGTGCATGAATCCACAGAGCATTAAGAATTTAAGATGACCCAAAGACTTGCATAGTCAAGAAAATGGGGCTAGAATTACTCTAAAAAAACCTATTACATTTCAATCAAACCCTAATGAAATCAAAAGATGAGTTTATGACATACTCAACGAATGGTCCTTGGATTGAAACACCCTAATGTTCCTTAGTTGGACATTTGTCCTATAATGGGGTATTGGGCCCGACCCCATATTGCTATAAGTGCTTGTGAGCTTGAACTAAGAATAAGCCAAGGCACCATAACCTAGTTCTGTTAGGGCTTTGGGGTTCAACATGGCCTGAACCCACTCAAAATCCATTTGATGCTTTATGCGGAT